ACACACACTAGTGGATGCACACACACTAGTGGATGCACACACACTAGTGGATGCACACACACTAGTGGATGCACACACACTAGTGGATGCACACACACTAGTGGATGCACACACACTAGTGGATGCACACACACTAGTGGATGCACACACACTAGTGGATGCACACACACTAGTGGATGCACACACACTAGTGGATGCACACACACTAGTGGATGCACACACACTAGTGGATGCACACACACTAGTGGATGCACACACACTAGTGGATGCACACACACTAGTGGATGCACACACACTAGTGGATGCACACACACTAGTGGATGCACACACACTAGTGGATGCACACACACTAGTGGATGCACACACACTAGTGGATGCACACACACTAGTGGATGCACACACACTAGTGGATGCACACACACTAGTGGATGCACACACACTAGTGGATGCACACACACTAGTGGATGCACACACACTAGTGGATGCACACACACTAGTGGATGCACACACACTAGTGGATGCACACACACTAGTGGATGCACACACACTAGTGGATGCACACACACTAGTGGATGCACACACACTAGTGGATGCACACACACTAGTGGATGCACACACACTAGTGGATGCACACACACTAGTGGATGCACACACACTAGTGGATGCACACACACTGGTGGGATGTGGTCGTTCTCTTGGGCCTGTGGAGGGAGGTGCGTGGCCTGTGGAGGGAGGAGGGAGGTGCGTGGCTTGTAGTGACACTCCGGTGGGAAGTGGTAGGCAGGGCGGCGCTCTGTACGTGTTCCGCTCCAACGACACAACAACAACTACCACCTGCGTGCACACCTGCTCCCACCTCTCCCTGCTCCCACCTTTCCCTGTTCTGTCCCCTCCCTGTCTGTTTCGTGCCATGTCTCACGCAAGCAGGACAAGACAGGGGGCAGGATCATCAAAAGACAGGGCGGCACCCTCTACGTGTTCCGCGGGCGCAACTACAACTACCGCCTGCGCCCGCGCCTGCCGCTCATGCTCTGTCCTCTCTCTGCTCCGTTTCTGTGCCATTTCATGCCCACCAGGACAAGACGGGGGGCAGGATCATCAAACGCCAAGGCGGCACCCTCTACGTGTTCCGCGGCCGCAACTATAACTACCGCCTGCGCCCGCGCCTGCCGCTCATGCTGTGGAAGCCCCCCGCGCTCATCTACCCCAAGCTCATCCAAGACGCCCCGGGGGGGCTGACGCTCAGACAAGCGCAGGAGCTGAGACGGATCGGGCGGAAGATTAAGCCTCTGTGCAAGCTGGGTACGTGCGTGCATACATACTCAAGAAGAGTCTTGCTGTGGAAGGGGAGCCCCCTGGACGACTTTTGAGACGCCTGCAAGCTAGGTACGTGCGTGCATACTGTGGTCGCCCCTGCTGTGCATACATACTCAAGGAGAGTCTTGCTGTGGAAGGGAAGCCCCCCGCGCCCATCTACCCCAAGCTCATTCAAGACGCCCCTGCAGGGCTGACGCTGAGGCAAGCACAGGAGCTAAGGCGCATTGGCAGGAAGATCAAGCCTCTGTGCAAGCTGGGTACGTGCGTGCATACATGCACTCACTCTCTCTCACTTTTACCTGCTCTTGCTGTGGAAGCCCCCCGCGCCCATCTACCCGAAGTTCATTCAAGACGCGCCTGCAGGGCTGACTCTGAGGCAGGCACAGGAATTGAGACGCATTGGCAGGAAGATAAAGCCCCTGTGCAAGCTAGGTGAGTGTGTGTGCTTTTGAGACGTCTCAAATGTGTTTGCACAAGCTGGGTATGTGTGTGCACACGCAGCGGGTCAGTCACACCATGGCATGCTCCTCATGCTGTGGAAGACACCCGCGCCCATCTACCCCAAGCTCATCCAGAACACCCCTGAGGGGCGGACGCTCAGGCAGGCTCAAGAGCTGAGACTCATGAGCAGGAAGAGTAAGGCGCTCTGCTGATGAGTAATCTGCTGATGAGTCTCTGCTGATGAGTCTCTGCTGATGAGTCTCAGCTGATGAGTCTCAGCTTATGGGTCCCAGCAGGAAGAGTAAGGCGCTCTGAAAGCTGGGTGCGTGTGTTTGTGCAAGCTGGGTACCATGCTGAATCACACATTGGGTACCACAAGCTACATTCGTGAGGCAAGTACGGCATGTATCACTGGCTGGTGGGCGTGGTGAGGGCAGGACCGCCGCCATCTTGTCACTCAAGTCAACCCCACCCTGTCCCTCTCTTCCCATGCCGCTCTCCCCTTGTTTTACCCCCCTCCCCGTGGTTTGCAGGCAAGAACGGAGTGTATCACCGGCTGGTGGGTGTGGTGAGGGCAGGAGGGGTCTTCTCTCTGCTGTGTCTCTGCCCTTGCCCCCCCTAACTCAACCTTACCCCAACCCAACCCCTCACCGCACCCCCCATTCCCCTCCTCTCTCACTGCATGCAGGAACGGCGTGTACACCGTCTGGTGGGCGTGGTGAGGGCGTGGTCCTATGCACCCCTCATTCTGCCGTTTCACCTCATCCCCCTCCTTCCCCTTCCCGGCGTGTATCACCGGCTGGTGGGTGTGGTGAGGGTGTTGTGCAGTTCACCCCGCATTCTCTTCCCTCCCCCTCATCCTTCGAATCTCTTCCCTCCGCGCACTCACTGCAGGCAAGAACGGGGTGTATCACCGGCTGGTGGGCGTGGTGAAGGTGGTGTGCTTTTCAACCATCATACTCTCCCCTTGCCCCCATTCCCCCCTTACGTGCCTCTCACCCCCCTCGCAGGCAAGAACGGCGTGTATCACCGGCTGGTGGGCGTGGTGAGGGCGGGGTTTGAGGAGGCGGATCTGGTGAAGGTGGACTGCAAGGGCATGAACAAGAGCGACTACAAGAAGATCGGCGCTAAGCTGCGGGTGGGTGGATTGTCTGGTGGTTGTACGGGGTGGACTGCACGGGGTGGACTGCACGGGGTAAATTGCAAGGGCATGAACAAGAGCGACTACAAGAAGATTGGTGCTAAGCTAAGAGTGAGTGGGATGTGTTGATAGGGGTGTAGGGAAGGTTGACTTGAGGAGGCGGATCTGGTGCGAGTGGACTGCACGGGGATGAACAAGAGCGACTACAAGAAGTTTAGAGCCAATTGGCTCAGGGTGAGTGGATTGTGTTGGCTGCAGTACCCAGGAGAATAGGGTTGTGGGTGAGTATCTGGGGAAGGTGTATCTAGTGTGCGTGGTCTGTCTGTAAGGGGTGTAGCAAGAGCGGTTACAAAGGAGATTGGCGCCAAGCTCAGGGTGAGCGGGGAGCTCGGGGCAGCATCTTTTGCAGCAAGTCAGAACCAGAACTGCTTCATTCATGTTGAGCTGAAGCCGTAGTCTTAGTCTTAGTCTTAGTCTTCTTGCTGGCTGTCTCACCTCCCTTGCCTCCTTTCTTCACCTCCTTTTACGCGATTGGCCGCCACCAGGACCTGGTGCCATGTGTCCTGCTCTCATTCAAGAAGGAGCAGATCCTCATGTGTCCTGCTTTTCCCTTTTCCTTTCTCTGCTCCCCCTTTGCTGTGATTGGCCGCCACCAGGATCTGGTGCCATGTGTCCTGCTCTCATTCGACAAGGAGCAGATCCTCATGTGGCGCGGGCTGGACTCACAGGAACCTTCTCCCGCAGCTTCCCCCGAATACTCCTCTGAAACTTCCACACAGGCAGAAGGTGCCACCGCAGCAGCAGCGGCAGGCGGGGAAGGGAGAAGTCCCACAGGAGAAACTTCAGGATGGTTGGTGGGAGATGGGAGTGCTGGAATGGGGGCTGAGATGGAAGGAGGGGAGAGGGGGGAGAGACAGGGTGTGTGGAAGTTTGATGTGAAGGATGAGGGGGAGGTGGAGGTGAGTGTGAGTGTGGATGCAGATGGTGTGATGGTGGTGGGTGGGGAGGAGGGCGAGGAGGAAGGAGGTGAGGAAGTGAGCAGTGTGGATGAGGATGATTGGGATGATGAGGAGAGGTGGGGTATGGAGGGAGGGAGTGGGGATGGTAGCAGCAGTGGTGGTGAGAGTGGGAGTGAAGGAGCATTATCTGAAGGAGTATCTCTAGGAGGCTCTCAGGGAGAAGGCTCTCAAAGCCATAAGAATATTGCGGGTTTTGGAAATGGGCAAGCGGGTTCGGATGCAGCAGTGTCATCCCCCCCTGAGACTGGATGTGAAACGGCCTTCGATGAGTTTGAGGCGCTTTGGGAGAAGGCGACAAAATTGGGGGAGATAACGCCACTGGATGGCTCACAGTAAACAGGTGATTTGACAAGATTATCCTATTCGTGTACAGTATTGGGTTAGGCTGGGATTTGTGCCATGCCACAAACGGTGGTGGGGCAGCTGGTTATCATAGATGGCATGTTGCAATATATCGCATGTCTGGTTGGACTTGCCATGCGGTAGTTCCATATTTTTGCGAGCTGCTTGTACTATTCAGGTGCCGCAGCTGCTCTTATAAAGGAGACGCTCGACTGCTCCAGCCCCACTGTGATTGGCCAGCAATGCTGGCTCGTGGCTGGTGTTGGATGGAATTGGTGGAGTTCTCGAAGAAAGTCTTTTCTTCCCTCACGCGCCCACCACAACCACAGCCAACCACCATCGTCGGCACCACCATCCCACCTTGGGGTTGGGAACTCATCGCCGTGCGACATGCCAGACTCTTTGCGAACAGTTCGCTTCGTCGCAGAACGGAGGTTGTTGGCCAGTACCTGCGACGATTCTGTGTCAGCTGTATTTCACGACTCTTCAAGGCGTCGTACTGGCTCCCGTAACGAATCTTTTTCCACTCGCACGGTCGCACGGCCTTAACTGGTCGCACAGTTTTGCTCAAACATTCTTCAGTTCTCCTTCCAGATCTTCCACCATTCCACCCACTTCTACCTTCTGCTGGCCGTGAATTCAAGCAGTCACAAAATTGTACCTTGGGAATTGGCTCGACTTTCTCCTATCGTTCTTGCTGATCCAGCTAACCCAGAGTTGCTGATAGCAGATCGGCGACAATGGTGCGTCTTTATCCTCATGCTGTCTCCGAGTCGTGGAAATCGCATTGTTCTGGTAGGTTATTTCGGTTGTCTCTTACACATTGTGTGCTCTGCAATTTGTTTTCTTCCGTTTCCTTTGCAGGGTAGAAAATTCTGGTGCCTTTTCGTGCTCGCGCTCCTATTATGTGCGTCCATCCACGCCACCGACGCGAAGAAAAAGAAAAAGGTAGTAGTGGAGGAAGAGGAGGCAGCAGATGAGGGAAGCGCCGCGGTTGAGCAGAGCGACGAGGGCGACGCAGAAGAGAAAACGACCACCAAAGCCTCCAAAGCAGACGCTGAAGCGTCAGATGATGAAGACGCAGAGCCGCCTGCGAAACCCTTAAAGTCGTCTAAGGCCAGCAAGATTAAGAAGGCAGCGGAGGAGGAGGAGGGGGAGGAGAAGGAGGAAGCTGCAGCAGACGCCGAGGAGGCCGATGCCGCTCCTTCGAAAAAGGTGAAGTCTGCGAAGAAAGCGAGCGATGACGAAGAGGAGGACGCAGACGCTGCGCCTGTCGCTAAGAAAAAGGCTGCAGCGGACGACGAGGAAGCTTCCGCTGAAACGGAGGACGAAGAGGAAGCTCCTGCTGCGAAAAAGGCGCCTGCAGCGAAAAAGAAGGCTGCAGCCGCGGATGAGGAAGGTGGGGAAGAGGAAGCAGCCGAGGAGGAGGATAAGCCTAGCAAGGCCGCTGTAGCTAAGGCCGCCAGCGCTAAGGAAGCAGATTCCGAGGAGGAGGGGGAAGCAGAGGGCGAGAAGGTTACGGCGACTGAAGCCGATGAGGAGACACCGAAAGCTGCCAAGGGCGGCGTCGCGGCTGTGTCTAAGGAGCCTCCTACGGAGTCGCCGAAAGTCCCAGCCACGGCATGGAAGTCGAAAAACCAGACGCGCGACGACATTGATCCGCAAGGTTCGTCCTCGAGATTGCATCGACGCGACCCTGTTGATAGTCAACTCGTCCGTTAGGTTTTGGTAGCAAGATCCTACGGCTGACGGGGTAGAATGCTAACTGAAATTATTGATGTCTGGCGATTCAGGTGCTTGCAAGAGGGACATCGCGCTCCACTGCCAGGGGATCACGCCCGGCGAGGCTCAGCTGTCGCTGTGCCTCGTCTTCCACATCAAGAACGAGAAGGCCGGCAACGAAGTCGCCAGTAAGCTCCGCTTGAGAATAAACATTTGTTGTCGCAATCACTTCCAAAATATCCTTTAGATATAGCAGCTGTTTCGCGAATTGGAACTTAAATGTCTGACTCGCCCTCCCTTCACCCCTTGCGCTGTTGGCAGCGATCATGGTGTCCAAGAAGTGCCGCGCGGAGATCCGGCAGTTCCGATCCGACATGTACAGGGACCTCTCTATGGACAAGGCCATGTGTGCGTACCTCTATCCAAAACTTGTTTCGTATTCCTGACGGATCAAGAACCGCTACGTAACTCTTCAAAATTCACGTATTTCCTTTTGTTCCGCACGGATCATTTACGCTTGCTCTGTTTGAATTCTCCCTCGTGTCCTGATGCCTGTACTCTGGGGGCTTTGGGGGCCGGTCCGTTGCGTGGCTGGCTGGCAGCGACGGCCTGCAAGGCGGACATCACCAAGTTCTGCGACGACGACTTCCTCTATCCGGAACCCGGAAACATCATCGCTTGCCTCAGGTACGGGAATGCACGTACGCTGACATATGAAGCAGACGTTTTTTTTCAGGCGAATGCAGATTTGTGTGCACAAGAACGAATACCTTCGGTTTGGTTTGTTTGTTTGTTTGTTTCTGTAAACTATGTTGAATGCGGATGGGGAAAAAAAAATGTTGCTGTTGTGGTTTTTCTTCTTCTTCTTCTTTGTTCAGGGAGGTGAAGCAGGTGGAGAAGCTGCAGGACGCGTGTCTGGCGGAGGTGCTGCGGCACCAGATGGAGGCGGCGGACGACTTTGTGATGGACCCGCAGCTGCGCGAGCTCTGCAGCGGCGAGGCCGACCGCCTCTGCAAGGGCGTCGAGCCCGGGGAAGGCCGCATTCAGAACTGCCTGGTCAGTGTGGCACACAGGGAGTCTATTTTCTAGGCGCCTCAGAAATAGAAAGGGCGTGGAGCCCGGCAGCGAAGGCCGCGAGCAAAACTTCCTGGTCAGTGTGGCTCACAGGGAGTCTATTTATTAGGCGTTAGGCGCATCCGAAATAGCAAGGGCGTGGAGCCCGGCGAAGGCCGCATTCAGAACTGCTTGGTCAGTGTGGCACACAGAGAGTGTGATTTTTAAGCGCCGTAGAAATAGCAAGGGCGTCGAGCCCGGAGAAGGCCGCATTCAGAACTGCCTGGTCAGTGTGGTAGATGGACAGGCAGACGGATAGGCAGATTGACAGGCAGACGGACAGGCAGACAGACAGGGAGACTGACAGGCAGACAGGCATGGAGACTGACAGGGAGACTGGCAGGGAGACTGACAGGGAGACGCGAACATGCAGACGTACAGGCAGACGGACAGGCACACAGGCAGGCAGGCAGATGGTCGAACTATAGTTGCTGGTCACTGAGTGATGATGACGTCTTTAGAGGTGCTGAAAGCGTGGTTGTGGTGGTGTGGTTGCGATGTGGCGCAGAGGGAGCACCGTGCGAAGCTGGCGTGGGATTGTCAGGCGGAGCTGTTCCGCCAGGAGGTGGAGAACGCCGATGACATCCGCCTCAACGTCCGCCTCTTCCAAGGTCAGCCTTCCCACCCGCTAGGTGCGCCTTCTCACCCGGCATGTGCGCCTTCCCCTACCGAGCGCGCCTTCCCTTTCGTCAGGTGCCCTTCCCCCACCAGATAGCACCTTCCCACCCAACAGATGTACCTTATCGACCACTTGTGTGGTTTCCCGGCCAGCAGGTATGGCTTCCCAGCCATCAGGTTCCGCTTCCCAACCATCCAGTTGTTAGAATCTATCTTCTTGTGTAACCTGCATAGATGTTATAGGTTAGGCTAGAGTTAAGCACCCAAACTCAGTTTGGGTGTACAAACAAGGGTCACCCAGTTTGTAGGTTGGAAACCCAACCTTGGTCCAATTATTGGACCCCAAAGGTTGGGTTGGGTAGAATTATTGGTTCACTCCAATAATGTTGGCCCAACTCCAACTTGGCCAACATTATTGGACCCCACCAATAATCCCCCAACCCAACTTCTTGGTTGGGGTCCAATAATGCTCACCTAGGCTAGGATCCAACCCACTCCCTATGTAAACCCCCAATCTCCTCAATTCAATCATCAACTTCTCTTCAAACTATTGTTCTCACATGGTATAGAGCCCTTAATTCCTAGGCCTACTCTATTAAGTTTTCAAAGGCCACTACAACCCCGGCCTTCTTCCTCATTTTTTTTTCGCGGCCATCTTGCCGCCCTTCCCCTCTCATCAAGCGCTCCCTTCCTCGCAGCCCCGCGGCCTCCCACGCCGCCAAGGCTCGCACCACTCCCCCCCCCCCCCCCCCCCCCCCCCCCCCCCCTCCCCCCCCCCCCCTCCCCCCCTCCCCCCCCTCTCCCCCCCTTCCGCGGCCCCATCACCGCTTCCGCGCTCGCCTCGTCGCGGTCCCGCCGACCGCTGCCGCTCGCGCCTCTCCGCGGCCTCGACGCCGCCTCCGCGCCGACTCCGCCGCGGCTCCACCAGCCGCCGCCGTCCGCGCCGCTCCCTTCCGCGGCCTCGTCGCCGCCTCCGCGCCGACTCCGCCGCGGCCTCGCCAGCCGCTGCCGTCCGCGCCGCTCCCTCCCGCGGCCTCATCGCCGCCTCCGCGCCGACTCCGCCGCGGCCTCGCCAGCCGCTGCCGTCCGCGCCGCTCCCTTCCGCGGCCTCGTCGCCACTTCCGCGCCGACTCCGCCGCGGCCTCGCCAGCCGCTGCCGTCCGCGCCGCTCCCTCCCGCGGCCTCGACGCCGCCTCCGCGCCGACACCGCCGCGGCCTCGCCAGCCGCTGCCGTCCGCGCCGCTCCCTCCCGCGGCCTCGTCGCCGCCTCCGCGCCGACTCCGCCGCGGCCTCAGCCGCTGCCGTCCGCGCCGCTCCCTCCCGCGGCCTCGTCGCCGCCTCCGCGCCGACTCCGCCGCGGCCTCTGCCGCTGCCGTCCGCGCCGCTCCCTTCCGCGGCCTCGTCGCCGCCTCCGCGCCGACTCCGCCGCGGCCTCGCCAGCCGCTGCCGTCCGCGCCGCTCCCTCCCGCGGCCTCGTTGCCGCCTCCGCGCCGACTCCGCCGCGGCCTCAGCCGTTGCCGTCCGCGCCGCTCCCTTCCGCGGCCTCGTCGCCGCCTCCGCGCCGACTCCGCCGCGGCCTCGCCAGCCGCTGCCGTCCGCGCCGCTCCCACCCGCGGCCTCGTCGCCGCCTCCGCGCCGACTCCGCCGCGGCCTCAGCCGCTGCCCGCCGCGGCCTCTCCCTCCCGCGGCCTCGTCGCCGCCTCACCTCCCCCCGTGACCACTGCAGGCCCACCCGCAGCCGTCCTCCATGGCTACCGCCACACCCTCCCCCGTCCCCCTCCCTCCACCTATTGACACCTCCTCCGTCGATAAGCTGCAGCTCACCGCAGACAAATCCGCCATTAATTGGCACTCCTTCGTCGGCAGCATCCGACGGGTCCTCTCCGATGCGTGGGTTCCCCCCTACCGTGTCCTTGATGTCCTCCTCCGCCGTCCCCATGCACTCCCCCCCACCGAACCTGACCACCCGGGCGAGACTCACCCTCTCCCTCCCTCTCCCGGCGATCCTCCTCTTGAACCCGACCTCCAACTCACCGCCGACCAAGCCACGGCCGATACAGACTTCATCCTACGCCGCCGTGCGTACCTTATCAAGAAAGCAGAGTACGATGCAGCAGTCGAAGCCTATGACCAGGCAGTTACCGGCCGCAACGCTCACCTCGCCGTCGTCGCCAAATACCAAGCCGACATGGCCACCTACACCCCGAAACTTATCGCCTGGACAACTGCTGACACTCGTGCCTGCACCGTTCTCCTTGGGGCTCTCCCTGACTCTCTCATGCGCTCCGGGCCTCGGTCATCTGGGCAGAGCTCCATGCGATGTTCGAACGCCGCGACATCAGCTCGGTCGGCATTCTGTTTCAAGAATACTTCTCAATCACCCTTGCTACCTGTGACGGAGCGGTCGACTACATCGGCCGCATGCGGGAGGTAGCTGACCGCCTCGAAGCCCGCCAAGCCGGCCTCTCCGAACCCCTCCAAATCCATCGCCTCCTGTTTAACCTCACTCCCGACTATGAATCCCGCCTTCACGCCTTTACTGAAGCCAATCCCATGGCTGACCTCGCCTCCGTTGAACAGTGGATCATAGACACCGAAGTCAAACTTCGCACCCCCGTCGTCAACCTCGCCTCCTCCCAACCCTCCTCCTCCCTCAACGCTACTCAGCCCCGCAAGCAGGGCAAGCACAACGGCAAGGGGGGCGGTGGAGGCAAGGGAGGTAGCGGTCCCGGCGGCAGCAGCGCGAGCAGACGTGGCGGTACCACTGGGGATGAGCACGGCACCACCACCACAGGCGGAGCTCCTGCAAGCAGCGGCGGTCGCCCCGGTACTCTTCCGCCCTGCACCTATGTTCGCCGCTATGGCCCCCGGGCTGGAACACCCTGCGGACAGACCAACCATCCCCCTGCCACCTGCTTCAAGGCCCTCGATGATGCTTGGTACGCACGAGGTAACGTTGGCAATCCTCCAAAGTGGGGAACGATCTCCCCACGTCCCTCCCCCACCGACATCCAAACAACTCCGCTTACCTCCCTGCCCACCTCCGCCTCCTTGCTCCCCCCACACCTTTTCTCAACCTCCAGCAGCAGCACCTCCTACAGCAGCAGCAGCAGCAGCAGCAGCAGCAGCACCAGCAACTACAGCAGCTGTTTTATCCACAGCCGCAGCAGCAGCAGCAGCCGCAGCCGCAGCAGCACCCATGGGGATCAGGACCCCAGCCCCAGTGGGGACCTAGCCCTCCTCCCTGGCAGCAGCAGCAGCTAAACTTCGGCACCGCAGCCATGGCCGCTCAGGCCTCACCGGCTCCCCTTTGGGGTACTCCACCCCCCCACAGTGGCACTGCCACCCCTCTCACTCAGGAGAACTTTCTTGGCAACATTGCTATCTCACCCTCTCTTCCTTCCATGTACCCGTCCACCATTAATGAAACCACTTTCCAGTACTCCGTGCCTTCCTCCTCCTCACCCACTCTGGACTTTGTCCTGGACAGTGGGGCCACTGAAACTGCTCTCAAAGACGCTGGTACACTCACACCCCTCTCTCCTCCCACTCAGGTTCACGGCGCTGACAGCAGCTTCACTATTCCATGCACACACCTCTCCACTCTCCCCTGCTCACTCTTCCCCTCTGGTAAGGTAACTGGTCTCCACATCCCCACTCTCCGAAACAACCTCCTCTCCCACCGTGAAATACAAAGTGCAAGTATCACTGCGGTCTACCCTGGTAATGCCACCTACTGTGACCTTTACCACACTGCCTCCGGCCGCTTCCTCCTCCGCATACCCCTCTGCCCCCGCACTCGCCTCTACACTCTCCGCACTCCGTGGCCATCCTCCTGTCATGTCACCACTCGTGCGGGTACCTCCACTAGCCCTCCCCATCTCCCTCCCTCCCCCCCCACTCCACCATCCCCCCACTCCTTCATCCCGCCCTCCCTCGTTCCAATCCCCTCCACCTCCGACCATCTCTCCCACCCCGCTGTTCTCCTACATCACCGACTCGGCCATCCCAATTTCGCCGCTCTCCGCACTGCTGTCACCTCACGACTCCTTCACAGCCTCCCTCCCACCCTTCCTCCCCTTCCCTCCTCCCCGGCCCCCCCATGCCCCTCCTGCATCCACGGCAAACTCAAACAATCTCCTCACCACAGCCACCCATCCTTTGCTCCTGCACCAATTGACCTTGTCCATATGGACCTTTGGGGGCCCTCTCCCACCCGCTCCCGCCAAGGCCATCGCTACATGCTGGTTCTGGTTGACGATCACAGCCGCTACTCCTCCGTTTTCCTCCTCCACACGAAAGCCCAGGCGCCGACCATGATCATTCACTGGGCAGAACAATGCCGCACCCACTTCAAACGTCCCATCGGCCGCCTCCACTCTGATGGGGGAGGCGAATTCCTCAATCGCGCACTCACTCACTACTGCACCACACATGGCATCCAACAGACCCACACTCTTCCCCACTCCCCACAGCAGAACGGCGTCGCAGAGAGCCGCATTCGCGAAATCACTAAGATCGCCCGCTGTCTCCTCGCTCACGCCTCCACCCCTCCTTCTCTTTGGGGCTATGCACTCCTTCATGCTACCCTCCTCCTCAACCTTCGCTCCCATCCCTGCCACACCGCCACTACCCCCACGGAGCTCTGGTCAGGGACCAAACCTGACGCTGCCGGACTTCGTGTTTGGGGTTGCAAGGCATATGTGCTCATCCCTCCACCTGAACGCACCCACGGCAAGCTCGCTTCTCGTGCCCTCGAGTGTGTCTACCTCGGCCACAACCGCGACTCGCCCGGTTACCTTTTCCTTCACCCTCCCTCCGGTCGCCTCATCCGCAGCATTGACGTTGTGTTTGATGAGACCACCCCATATTATTCCTCTCCACCACCAGACCCCCTCCCTCCTCCCACCCGTCCTCTCGCTTGGACCGACACCGTCCTCCCTCCCCTCCTCCCTCCAGCACCCCTTCTCCCACCCCTCCCCACTCCGCTTCCGCCACCCTCATCTGCCGATATCTATGATCCCACTGCTCTAGCATCCCCTGCACACTCCGCGGCTCCCTCTCCCTCTTCTCCTTCCTACTCTCCTTCTCATCCATCCCAACAGCCGCAGCAGCAGCCACAGGTGCAGCAGCAGCAGCAGCAGCAGCCGCAGCAGCAGCAGCAGCCGCAGCAGCAGCCGCAGGGGCAGCAGCAGCAGCAGCAGCAGCAGCAGCAGCCGCAGGGGCAGCAGCAGCAGCCACAGCAGCAGCAGCAGCAGGGGCAGCCGCAGCAGCAGCCGCAGCAGCAGCAGCAGCCACAGCAGCAGCAGCAGCAGCAGCAGGGGCAGCCGCAGCAGCAGCCGCACCAACAGCAGCAGGGGCAGCAGCAGTGGCCGCCGCAACAACCACAGGGGCAGCCGCAGCAGCAGCAACAACAGCCGCAGCAGCGGCCGCAGCAGCAACAGGGGGTCCAGCAGCAGCAGCAGCAGCAGCGGCGGAGGGCGTCTGCCCGCTCCTCACCCTTCCTCCTCCCTCGCATGCCCCCCGCTCTCTTGATCCCATTCTTGGCACACACCGCCACCTTCCTCCCTCCACCAGCTCGAGGATTCCCATGAGGAGTTCGCCATGGTCCGGCACCACACTCCCTCTATCTTCACACTTTACCCTGACCTCTTCGGCGCTCTGATCCTTAGCGCGATCTCCGCTCCCACCATCTTCGTCCCCACCACCTTCCAGGAGGCTATCACCTGCCCTGACGCTGACAAGTGGTTAGCCGCTATCTTCCTGGAGTGTGAGGCTTTCATTCGCAACGACTCCTTTATCGACGTTCCCCTTCCCCCTGACGCCAACCTTGTCGAGGGCAAGTGGATCTTTCGAGTCAAACAGCTGCCGGGAGAGGAGCCAGTCTACAAAGCCCGCTATGTTGCCAAGGGGTTCACCCAGACCTGGGCTGAGGACTACTGGTTCACATTTGCCCCCACCCTCAGGCAAGCCACCCTACGCACCCTTATGGACATCGGTGCGCGTGACGACATAAAGATTGACTCCATGGACGTCTCCAACGCGTTCCTGCAAGGCGAACTGCACGAGCGCATCTTCCTCCGCCGACCTCCTGGGTTTCATGCGGCTTTCCCCGAAAACACCGTCTGGCAACTAAAGCGCCCGGTTTACGGCCTGAAGCAGGCACCACGAGAATGGCATGCGAAGCTGTCTGCTACTCTCCAGTCCCTTGGCTTCTCCCCCTCCCACTCCGATGCCAGCCTCTTCATCCGCTCCTCCCCCAGTCGCTTCTTCATCTCCGTCTACGTCGACGACATGATCCTGCTCGCCGACACCAGGGCTGACATGGATCATGTGAAGCGGTCACTTCAGGAACGTCTCAAGTGCAAGGACCTTGGTCCGCTTCAGAACTACCTCGGCATGGCTATCACCCGTGATCGATCCGCCCGCACCATCACCCTCTCCCAGTCCCACTACATCGGCCAGGTCCTGGAGAAGTTCGAGATGGCACAAGCCAAACCGGTCTCCACCCCTCTCCCCTTCGGCCACCAGCTTGCGCCACCCACCTCCCCCTCCACCTCCTCCCGGCCCTACGCCGAGCTTGTTGGGTCGCTGATGTACGCGATGATGTGCACTCGTCCCGACCTCGCCTACCCTGTCAGTGTCCTTGCTCGGTTCGTCGGCCCCGGCCGCCACACTGAGGAACACTGGACTGCCGCCAAGCGGGTCCTCCGCTATCTCCGTGGCACCAGAGACCACGCTCTCACGCTGGGTGGATCTTCCCCCCCCCTTCTCTCTGGCTTCAGCGACTCCTCCTGGGCAGACTGCCAGCCAGACCGCCGCTCCTCCCAAGGCTATGGCTTCACCCTCGGCAGCGGCCTCATCAGCTGGCGCTCTACCCGCTCCTCTGCCATCGCCCTCTCCTCCTGTGAAGCTGAGCTCTATGCTGGCACCATGGCCGCCCAGGAGTCCCGCTGGCTCTGCTTCCTCCTGGCTGAGCTTGGTGTTCCCCAGCGCTGCCCCACGCTCTGGTGTGACAATGCCAGCACCATCCATCTCACCCAAGACCCCGTGTTCCACGGTCGCTCCAAACACATTGAGCTCCGCTATTTCTTCATCCGTGAACTCGTCCAACAGAATCTCATTGCCGTTCGTAAGATCGCCGCTGAAGCCAACTTGGCAGATATCTTCACCAAAGCACTCCTTCGCCCTGCGCACTCTGCTCTTCTCCGCCTCATCGGCCTCGCTCCCCCAGGCGCGCCTTGATTCAGGGGTTGCTTCACTCAAGCCTTTCCGCATCTCTGCAGGTTAAGGGGTTGTGTTAGAATCTATCTTCTTGTGTAACCTGCATAGATGTTATAGGTTAGGCTAGAGTTAAGCACCCAAACTCAGTTTGGGTGTACAAACAAGGGTCACCCAGTTTGTAGGTTGGAAACCCAACCTTGGTCCAATTATTGGACCCCAAAGGTTGGGTTGGGTAGAATTATTGGTTCACTCCAATAATGTTGGCCCAACTCCAACTTGGCCAACATTATTGGACCCCACCAATAATCCCCCAACCCAACTTCTTGGTTGGGGTCCAATAATGCTCACCTAGGCTAGGATCCAACCCACTCCCTATGTAAACCCCCAATCTCCTCAATTCAATCATCAACTTCTCTTCAAACTATTGTTCTCACACCAGTTACAGCTATCCCAGCTTGAATTTACCCCCTTCTCCCTACCGACACGTGCTTTTCCAGCTAGCTTCCCAATTTCCCTTCTTGGTGCCCTTCCTCCCACGATGTTTCCCCCCCTTCTCCTTACCCCCTCCGACTCCCTCAAACCCCACCGCCCCTTTCCCCTTCCCTGCGTGCACAGCGTGTCTGAACGACCAGCGCAAGTTCTGTGCGGATGTGAAGTATGGGGATGCGCGTGTGAAGGACTGCCTGGAAGACCATCGCTGACTCGACGCCGAGTTCTCCCCTGGCTGGTACGCTTCTCGTTTCTGTTCTTTATGAATCCTGCTGTTTGTTTCGTTCCTTATGAGATGTGTTAGCCTGATTCACTTTCTCCCCATCTCCGCCCCGTTCCCCCCCTCCATCCCTACCCGCTCCCCTGGCAGCAAGACGGAGTTTGAGAAAATGATGACGCGCAGGCCCACTGACTTCTGAATCGACTTTTAAGCCACCTCCCCGCCTCCTCCTTCCCTTTTCCCCCCGTCCTTCCCACCTCCCCTCCCCCGTTCCCCTGGCAGCAAGACGGAGTTTGAGGGGATGATGGCGCGGAGGGCCACGGACTTCAGGCTGGACTCGCGCCTGCGCAAGTACTGCAAGGGCGACATTGCCGAGGTGCGGTGTTGGGGCATGACAGCGGTGCGAATAGGGTGGGGGTTGCAGAGGTGCGTGGTTGTGGGGCAGTGCAGAGCAGATGGCGTGGGTGGGGGGAGAGTGTTGAGGTCTATGCAAGAGGAGCATTGTAGATAGGGGGTGGCATGGCAGAAGTGTGCACAGGTTGAGACATTCTGAGCGTGGCCAGCTGCAATGCCTTCTCTCCCCTCGCTTCCTCCCACTCCCCTTTCCCCCACTCTCTCTCGCGTTCCCCCCCTCTCAGATCTGCTACACTGACGCAGAGGAGAATTAGACGTGGCCTTCTTCAACGCCGTCTTTGTTGTCTCCCCCTCCCACTCCTTCCCCCCCTTCCTCCCTCTCTCTTCCCTTCCCCACTCCCACTCCTTTTCTCCCCCCTCGACTTTCCTCGTCTCGCCCCTCCTTAGAAGATTCGTTGCCCGATGCAGAGCACGTATCTATCAGTCATGGCTACACGGAACTTTCTCTCTCTGCCATCCTCCTCCGCCACTTTTTTCAGACCCCTCCTCCCCCTCTCGCCCACCCCGCACACTCCCTCCAGATTTGCTACCCCCCGATGTGGAGGACATATCAGACGTGGCAAACTACGATGTCAGCGTGTGATCCAGTGCCTTCATGACTACTGCGACAAGCTCAAGGGCCCCCCCCCTTCCTTCCCTCTTCTCCCCCTCTTCCCCCCACCTCACCCTAGATCTGCTACCCTGACGCGGAGGACATATCGGACGTGGCTTACTTGATGCCCTCCGTCTCCGGTATCCTCTTCCCACTCTCTCCTGGCACCACTCCACTCCTTCCCACCCCTTCCCCAGATCTGCTACCCTGACGCGGAGGACATATCAGACGTGGCAAACTACGATGCCAAGGTGATCCAGTGTCTGCAGGACTACCGCGATGAGCTTAAGGACCCCAAGTGCAAGGCGCAGGTGCACAAGCTCACTGAGAGGGAGATCGACATCCGCTTCAACAAGCCCCTCTCCGACGCCTGCCAAAGTGAGTGCCACGCTTGCCAATGTGAGCCTGTGGGTCGATGGTTGCTTCCTATGAGGCCCTTCAAGGTGAGACTCAGCGCATGTGCACAAGCTGATTGAGAGGGAGATTGACATCAGCTTCAACAAGCCCCCCTCCGACGCCTGCCAAGGTGAGCCTGCCAGGGTCAGTCTGGGTTGCTCGCCTGTCAAAGCCAGTATGTGAGGTGCCGCAAGAATTAGCACCGGCAGATGCACCAACTGAAGTAGCAGGACTGTGGCGTACGCTGTAACAAACCTGTGGTGATGCCTGTAAAGTATGTGGTATCTGTCGTTCGTACCTAATCGTCTCTCCCTTTCTTTCTCTAACAACTCAGTCTGACTGGCTGGAACTGTTGCATTGCGTTCTTCTTCTTTTCCCTGTTTCACACTGTTGTCCTTAACTGCTGTCCTCATGACGTGTTTAAAATTTATGAATGCACGTCCTTAACTACTGTCCTCCTTATCCCGCACGCGCCCATACCCACATCCCTCCTCGTGCAGCTGATCGCACCACGGTGTGCAAGGACGCACCAGACGGGCAGGCGTCGGTGTTCATGTGCCTGCAGGACCACATGCCGCAGCTCAAGGAGGCCTGCCGCAACTCTGTCTTTGAGCAGGTAAAATTCCTGTCTCATGCACGGACTCCCCCCCCCCCCCCCCCCCCCCCTTTTTTTCTTTATTTTTTTAGCTGTATGTGGTGACTTTTGAGTCAATCCACCTATTGCTCATCCCTCGACACTTTTTTTGCACCCCTTCATATTCCACTCCACCCCTCTCCGTTCCGTCATCTCCTCCACATGGTAGAGGACATTGGCATCAAGTTGATGCATCATTCACCTGTTATTCAACCCTTTGCACCACTCTCCACCGCTCCCAACCCCCAGTTGGTGCGCATGGCGGAGGACATAGACCTCAAGTTCCCCATGAAGAAGGCCTGCCAGTCGGAGCTTGGCCGAAGAGATTGACTTGCATTCACTCACCCCTTTACACTCCTTTGCACCGCTCCCCACTGCGTCCAAACCCCCCAGTTGGTGCGCATGGCGGAGGACATAGACTTCAAGTTTCCCATGAAGAAGGCGTGCCAGTCGGAGCTTGACAAGTTCTGCAAGGACGTGCCGCACGGTGAGCTGTGATTAAACTTGCGTTGTGCTTGAATTCGCGGTGAGCTTTGCCCCACGCTGATTTCTTTTCTAACTTACGATGATTCTTTAGGCATCTCAAAACTCCAAGACGGGCTGAATTTTCCCTTTTTTTTTTTTTTTTTTTTTTTTTTGCTTCACACATCTTTTCTCCCCCCCATTTTACCCATCTTCACACCCCTTCACTACCCCTGTGCCCCATGCGTCCATCACCCGCCACCAGCGCGCATCAAGTGTCTGCAGGACCACATTGACGATGCTGACTAAACACCCCCACCCAATCCTCCCTTCCCCTTCTCCCCTCCTCCCCTCCTCCCTCCCTACACTGCCCATGTCTCCATCACCCGCCCTCAGGCCACGCCTCACGTATCAAGTGTCTGCAGGACCACATTGACGATGCTGACTTTGGGGAGGCATGCCGCAAGGAGGTGCAGTCTGACCTCGTGCGATCGGCACAAGGTGAGGGGTCACTGGGATGTGCGACAACTTGATGCTTGCTAATGGCCCACACACAGTCAGTGTCACAAAGCCACTTTGGGGAGTTGTGCCGCAAGGAGGTGCAATCGGATTTCGTGCGCTCGGCACAAGGTGAAGACCTTTAGTGTGCAAGTGGTGCTGACAGTGGTAAACTCAAGTGAACGCAAGGTATGCATTCTCAAGATATGCTCACAAGTCCGTCCAAGGCGTGCTCATAAAACTGCTCATCCCTCCATACTACCTCCTCTGTATCCTTATCCTTCCATACTACCTCCTCTGTATCCTTATCCTTCCATACTACCTCCTCTGTATCCTTATCCTTCCATACTACCTCCTCTGTATCCTTATCCTTCCATACTACCTCCTCTGTATCCTTATCCTTCCATACTACCTCCTCTGTATCCTTATCCTTCCATACTACCTCCTCTGTGCCCTCATCCTCGTTCTTTTACACATGCCTCTCATCGCTTCTCTCCCTCCACCATCATTCTTGTCCCCCCATCCCAATCTCCCTTCCGGCATTCTAAAAGCACCCCCTCCTCCAACTATAACCCCGCCCCTTCCTCTTCTCCCCTCCTCGTCCCCCCACATTACCGGCTGAACTGTATCTCCACGCTGCCTTCCTGCCAGACATCCAGCAGTAGTCTTTGCGCTCTCAACTGCCCGCACCCACCTTTGACCCTATATTACCCAACCCGTCCCTTCGCCACCTTCCCTCCCAGACTACCGGCTGCACAAGGCGTGTCTGCCGGACTTCCAGTAGCAGTGCCTTCACATTTCGTTTTCCAAGACCTCAACTCACCAACCGATTTCCTCCCGCCCATTTGCCCCCTCAGAACCCAACCCCTTCCCCCAGGCAACCGGCTGAACTACCGCCTGCACAAGGTGTGCCTGCCTGACATCCAGCAGCAGTGCCTGCATGCGTTCACTGCACCTTCCTTCACTCTCCTGTTACCCTGTTACCCTATGACCCAAACCACCCCTCGCACCCCTCTCTCCCACCCCACCTCGCCCTCCTCCCC